TTAAAAATCTTGTATCTGTTGTTCTGAGTAAATAGGAAATTCCTTTGTTACTTAGGTCTCTGAGTCACTTGTGAAGAGATAGGATGGCTTATCCCCCTGTGACAGTGGTTCTGCTTATAATTTGTAATGGAAATAGTCATTATATATTGCTGAAGCATTTCTTAAATTATTTCCAAGGCCAGTAGATTGGTGACTGTATATGTCCGATGCTTAATTTGAAAATGAGTATTTGGTAATGGACTTTTATGCCTTTTCAATGTGAATGCACATACATATTACATTTGCCAAAGCATATAGTGTTACATTGCTAAAATTAATTTTTATTAATCCAGTTTGAATCTGTTCTCTTTGTATTTCATAGACTAGTGAAGTAGAAGTGGTTTTTTTACTTTTCAGCCTTATTGAATATTGAAATCATAAAGCAAATTAACATCTCTGTTGATTAGGAATGGATAGTGAATTTGTTTCTAGTTAAGAAATAAAAATCTTTATTGATTGTAATTCATATGTTTGCCTACATGCCTCTTCATTTTTTATTCTCCTTGTCCATTTTACAGTGATTTTTTTTCCTGTTTCATAATTATTTATAGTGAAGATAGCTTGGAGTCAAGATAATTGGTGCCCATCCTTACCTTTATAAGTCAGATACTTTTTATGCATTTGTGTCTGTGATATAATCCTTTATATAGATTCTGGGATAATCTTCTGAGGGAGTATTTGGATCATCTTATCTCTATGCTCAAGAATGTAAGGAGCCAGGCATGACAGTACATGCCTATAATCCCAGCATTTGGAAGGCCAGTCTAGATTACATAGAGAGTTCAAGGCCAGTTGGGACTACATTATGAGACCTTGCCTCAAACAAACAAAATATATATATCCCTCAGCTTTTATATATCTAAATGAAATATAACAAATGAGATATATATATATCTCAGATATATATATCCCCTCAGTTTTTCTTCCATCTTAAAGCTACTTCATGAAATCTCCCTATGTGTAAGAGTCACAGTGGGTGAAAAGAATACCGAGCTGCTTCAATTTGCCTTTACAATTTTCTTTTTTCTTTTTTCTTTTTTTTTTTTTTGGTGCCAGGAATTGAACTGTGGACCTTGTGCTTGTGAGGCAGGCGGCAGAACCACTGAGCTAAATCCCTGGTCCTGCCTTTACAATTTTCATTAAGTATCTAGTGTTCTGTTAATCTTTCTAAAATTCCTTCATCTACAGTACCTTTTTTTTTTTTTTTTTGGTACCGGGGACTGAACTCAGGACCTTCCATGTGTGAGGCAGGCATGGTGCCACTGAGCTATATCCCCAGCCCCATAATTTTTTCTTATACTGCGTTATTTTTCTTTATTATTCCTTATGGCTACCTGACATCCATCCATTTAGTCTTACAAGAGACACCCCCCCCCCTTACTAGATAGTAAACTTCATGAAGCCAGGCTTCTGTGTGGTGTGTTTGCTTCTGTCCTTAGTTACTAGAGTAGTGCCTGACTTGTAATAGTTTTTGGATATTGCATATCAAATGAACCTTCATGAAAACTTACCTTTTTTGTAACTTACTCTGTTCCTCTTTAATCTTTAATGTCATATAATTGTAATAATTTATAGCAGTGTTCAAAATTGGTTTGATTTCTTAGCTAATGATTAATATAGCTAAAATATTAACTGGCTTACCTGAGGAATGAAGATAATCATTGATTTCATGATTGAATATTTTCAATAATTTAAAATTAAATTGTTTGTCTTTGATGTACATGACATTTTTCTCATGTTTTTATTTCAGTAATTCTGAGCCAACCCCTTGGATTGATGTTGCTCATTTAATCTTAGGTGTAATCAAAATAATCTTTAATTACCTTTTAATTATTCTGTAATTGTTTTGTTCTCTTTTTCTCAGTTGGATGCAAATGTATTTGAGGGCAGAGATCATCTCTTTTGTACATTGTGAAGTTAATGATAGTTTAAATGAAAAATGAAATCCTATCAAAATACAATCTTTTAATCAAATCCAAGTTGTAGAACTATTGCCAAAAATCCTTCCTTGTTTCTTGAAGTGTTTTTTTGGGAGCCATTGCTCACCTACCGCATAGCATAGAACTCCTGGTCTTTTGCCTATTATTAAAACAATATTTTTAGAGCACCCTGTTTCTTACAGATATTTTCTTGTTCCCATTTGGTAAGATATTCCAAGCAGTGTGTCATATCTTCTACATTATATTTACGTTACCAAATGTTATATTTACACTAAATGTTCCTTAGTGCTCACCAGTGAGAAAGCAACTGATATCTTCCAAAAAGCTGTCATCTCAGACTTTGTTCTGTTGGAAAATTATCTTCATTATAGCTTTAATGTAGTAGGATATACTAGTTTTAAAATTTATATATATCTCCCCTCTCCATTTTATGTTTTCCTGGTCCTGAGGATTAAAGTCGAGCTTTCATGCATAATAAGCTCTATCATTAAACTATACCTTCAGTTCCCTCTCGCCTCCCTTTTTTGATGCCAGTTCATCATTCCTTTGTAAAAAAGATATTTTCATATATCTGTTAATTGCTTATAGATAGGTACTGTATTATGTTCTTGTGGACATTTTTAAAAATTTGCTATACACTAAATGCATCTTTCTAGATACTTGACTACATGGAAAATGCTAAGTCCCTGTATTTTTTTCTCTCTTTTTTGCTTCTTCACAGTCTTATTTAGTATTTGATTGCTTGTTATGGGTTGTTAATGTGTTTGTATTGACTTGGGGAGAACAGAAACTCTTATGCCTTTTATTGGTGCTACAGATAAATTTTATTCGTGTTTATATCAATTGGAATATGTATTGCTCACCAATAGTTTGTGAACTCATTCCACATTTGCAATGTGCAGCTGTTATGTTAAGCATGAAGACAGTTAACCTGATTAATTTTAGTTTTCTTTTGAAAGCCATAGTGATATGAAATAACACTTTTCTCTAATAATTTTTTTTTATGGTTTTAGATATTGTAGAAGCTCTTGGGGAGAGGTGGGAAAGGGTCATTGTGCTTGTCATGATCTTATTATTTTCTTGTATGAAGAACTCACATTAATACCATATTAATCGGTCTATTTTCAAAAGCACTGTGAAAACCATAGAGTGTTACATTTGGGCTTATTGAAAGCCCTTTGGGTTTCTTGATTGGTATTAGGGTTTTTTGTGTATGATATGGAGAGGACTGACAGTTTTGTTTAAGAGGTTATGGCTAATGGTGCAAAATGAATGCTGTGTTTTTGTTTGAGATGGCCAATTTTAAGTAAATCTGACGTCAGTTAAGTGCCTGAAAGGAAACAACGGGTTGTTGTGGCTTATTGTGAGTACTTTTTACCCTTCTAAATGGGGGCACTGTTGGCTTTAGATTGGAATAACTCAAATCTTGGCAAAAAAAATTTTTAATGACTTTCTTTTATGTAAAAACTAATGACTCTTTGCTATTAGGCTTAGTTTGTTTTTTCTTGGGTTTGGTTTGGTTAGTTTCTTTTGTTTAACTTTTTTGTTGTGTTAATTGTGGGTGTTGGTAGTGCTTCAATCAGCTGATCTGTCCAGCTGGGTTTCTGTGAAGAAGGCCTTTTGCCTTGACAGCATTGTTGTGCTCACTCACCCTTGCCTACCATAAGATACTATGAAATAATCTATTTTAGAAATTGGAATTTAGTACCATAGATGAAAACTTGGCTCTAAAGCTGCCAGTGTACGCTTGAGTCAGTCATAACAAAAATATTAGGAAGCCATCAGCTGACCTCTGTTGTTAATAAGATAGCATGTATAAGAAGGTTTTGCTTTCTAGGTGTTTGCAGTGAGAGCTTTGTTTCTAAAAGTTAGTAATCCACTTAATAAAACCAGAAAGTTTCTTAAAATCGTGGGTGACTGAAGTTCTACAGAATCTTAATATTGAACATCAGTGATCACATATAGTATTGTCAGTATGGAAAACATGGGAATGTGTTGAATGTCTAATGTTTCCTACAGAAGTTCCTTTTTATTATCACTTTAACTTCCTCCTATAAATAAAATATAGACATAAATTCTAGATGAGTTGAAATGAATTGGAGTAGCAGATTTTACAGGAATTCTGGAGGTGGGATGTACCAGCCTTGGAGTTAGCAGATCTGCATTAGGGTCTGTGTTAGTTTCCGAAGAGCTGCCATAAGAAGGACCAGAAATTTAATGGCTTAAAATAACAGAATTTATTTGCTGTCCAGAGGCTAGAAATCAGAAAATGAAACTGTTGGTGGGGTTGTGGTCAGTGTGAATCCTCTCTGAAGGGTCTGTTCTTTTGTAGCTTTTGGTGACCCAGTTATTTCCAGTTTGCACCTGCAGCTCTTTAAACTCTGCTTCTGCCAAATGGCATTCTGGGTGTCTCTGCCTTCGTGAGGCCTTGTAAGAGGATATCAAGTCATCAGATTGGAGTCCCCCCTAACATACCTCATCCTAACCTTATTACATCTACCAAAACCTTATTGACAAATAAGGTCCTAATTATAGGTACTAGGGATTAGGACTACTTCAGCATATCTCGGGTGGGGGGCTTCAGGTCAACAGATTCCCAGTTTGACTCCTCACTAATCATGTGTTTCAGGGCAAATTATCTGTGTAGATAAGCCTCAGTTTCCTTATATATAAAGTTGGATAATACTTTTTATACTTTTAAGATAATACTATAAACATCAAGTGAGGTTTTTTTTTGGTACCAGGGATCGAACTCAGGACCTTGCACTTGCAAGGGAGGTGCGGTGCTGCTAAGCTCAATCTCCTGCCCCTCAAGTGAGAATATTTAAAATTGAGTTAGGAATATTGAATATTAAAAATGTATTGACATTTTTAATGATAATTATAAGGAACACTTTTTAAAAGAAAATTTTAACAAGGATTCCCTATTTTTAGAAGTTGTCCCCATTCCCTGAATTGTCCTTATTCCCCAATTGTAATTTATAATATAGCTTGCATTTCTTTATACATTACAGAATTTCTTGATTGTAAATAATTCATAATTCATTATTTTGAAACCTTAATTATGACTCTTATTTGACAGCATCTTTTTAAAATCGTAGAAATCAGGCATTTTTAGTGAAAGCTCAATATATAATTTAGGTAATATAGGTAGCCTCAAGCCCATATGTGGAACACAGATTGGATATTTTTTAACCAAACGTAAGTGCCACATTTCCAATAAGTAGCAAAGCAGTGTGCATTGTAGATAAATTTTTAATTTTTATCTTGTTTCATTAGAGTAACAGTTGACATAAATTTTCATGATTCACATCTATCAAAAGGAACTTTAAAAGGATGCCTCTTAAACTTGGAAACATTTCTGTAGATAGAAGGTGTTTGTTTTTGGTCCAGTCCATTAATATTTCCTCCTATAATCTTAGGACTTCTTGTGGTCTGTTTCCTTATCTCTTGTTTGGTTCTCTTTGACGGCCAGTTTAGGTTGTCACAGTTCTGTAAAATACATACCTTAAGATACTACTTTTGAATAACAGTGGCATTGCACCTATGTTAACGTTTTAAGCTATTGTAGATTCCAATCTGCAGTTTTGAAGCGGTTTAGATACAACATACCTTCAAAGAAGCATGCTTCCAAGTCACTGTGCAGCATCCCCTGAACAAATTGAGTAGAGCTTTGAATCAGTGCCACTAGAGTTATCCTAAAGGGTAGACCCTCTACATGTGCACAGTAGAGGAATCCTTTTTTAACCATATTCCACAGAGAATAGCATTATCTTTAAAATACATGAATTGCAACTCTGTATACTTACATCCTAATGCAGTTGGATTTGATGAATCACTAGTGACTTGGCCATTGCTGTAAATATTACTCAAAACCAACTTACTGTTCTATAGCCCAGTTTTAAGACTGATATCTCTGTGAAATCCTATTGAGAAACACTGTGGTCAGTCCCTCAACATTTTGTTACACAGTAGTGTTAGGAAAATGACTTAAACATTGCCTTAGTTTATTTGTGCTACAATAACAGAACACCACAGACTAATTTATAGTAAACAGAAATATATTGGCTCACAGTTTTGGAGGCTGAGAAGTCCATTATCAAGGTTCTAGCATCTGGCAAGGGCCTTCTTGCCATTAACAAAGGGAAGACCTCACATGGTGGAAGCAAGCAAGAATGAGAGAGCACAAAATAAAGCAGACCCATTCCTGTAGTAATGAACCCACTTCCTTATAGCAGCATTCATCCAGTTCAGGAGGGTGGAGCCATCAACCTAAGCACCTCTTCTTACTCTTAAAATGGCACCTAAATTTGAAACATGAGTTTTAGAGGAGACATTCAAACCATAGCAAGTGTGTAACCTTAGTATATGTACATTTAGAGATTATGTGAATATATTACTATAGCAACATATTAGATACCTTTTAAAAAGGAAAAATAATTTTTTTTTTCTGTTTTGGTTTTTTGAGACAGGTCTTTTTAGCTCAGGCTCTGGCCTTCAACTTGCAACTTCATGAGTGGTGGGAGTACACCCACCTTAAATTTTATTTTTTTAATTATTATTCTATTTTATTTATTTATTTTTAGCTGGCCTTGAACTCACTATGTAGCCCAGGTTGGCCTCAAACATGTGGCACTCCTCCTGCCTCAGCCACCCCAGTGCTGGGATTATAGGCATATACCACCGTGCTCGGCTTAAATTTTAAAATTAAGAGACAAGTTCTAATTTCTTTTTATATTCCATGTTGGAGGCCATTATTATACAGTTTGTTTTCTCACTAAAAAGCACTTTAACACATTTTAGAATATGTGTAACATGTAACCACTGCTAATTACTAAAGAGGAAGCAGGCTAAATTCAGTATTTCCTTGCACCTGAAGGATCTAAAGATAGGTGTAATTTGAAAGCAAGAGTGATGATGGGTGGATTATAGAGTGAGAAATCTTATAAGAGAAAATAGAGTGCTGAGAGCATAGTGGAAGAGCAGGAGCAACAGATTCAATGACATTTGAATTGGACCACTGATGAGTGCAGATGGACATTTGATGGTAAGTGCTAGGGAAAATTGAACTAATATTTTTTAAATTAATTTATTTTAGGCAGTATGCTGGGTAGCTGTCATTTAATTCTCAGCATAGCCATAAAAGGAGATACAAGTATTTGGTTTAGGTATTCTAAACCCCATTTTATAAGAGGATTGAATTCAGTTCCATCTTACTACAAAACCCTGTTCAGTCATTCCAGGCAAAAGAACTACATCAATTTTTCTTTAGTGATGTTGTCTTTGCTTCTTCATTGGAGACAAAACGTATCTGTATAATATTGCTGTGTGCTACTTAGGCTTTTGGGTGACTAAAGAATTTAATTGTAAAGGTGGGGCAGAGTTGTCTCCTTAAGAATTTTAAGTACAATGGCAGTGATACATGTTAGAAAATTTCTCCTAATTATCTAGTCTTTTTAAGCTTTTGATTACACTAGCATTGTTTCTGAGACTGCTGTTTTTTCATTCTAACCAGAAATTTTCTTCCTTAGTGTTAAAACAGGTGTACAGTATAATGAAGGTAGAATCACTTTTGCTTTTATTACATTAGAATTTTTTTTATAAATGTCAACATGTATTTTTACACTTGATCTTAGCCAAAAGGCCCAGAAATAATTGTCAACGTATATTTTTAAAGGGTTGATTAGAGTAGTGGAGGAATTTCAACCAAGAATTTTTTTTACCATCAATTACTTGTAAATTTTAGTAATTTTACTTACATGCTGCTTTTCTAAATGTTTCGTTTTCCTGAATGTGAGAAGAGTAAGTGTATCTATATTGGACTAGTAAGACTAACATAACCCCTTTATTTAAAAAGCATCTTTAGTTGTGATGTAGATCATTTTCATTTGAACAAGCTGTTAGCCATACTAGTTTTTTAGGTCTGTGGGAATTTTGGGATAGAGAATATTATTTTTTTAAAAAATGGGTAAAGATAGTGGGGTTTTTTGTTTGTTTGTTTGTTTTTTTGGGTGGGTACCAGGGCTCGAACTCGGGTCCCTGCTGGGTAAGGATAGTTTAAAAAATTTTTTAAGTATTCTGGTGATGGCATATTTATAATAGAATTTAATTGAAATAAACAATTTGTGTTGCATTGGCTTATAAAATCAGGTGAATTTTGTAATGAATATTAGAAGTTTTTTTATTTCTTATCCTTCAGTTCTTTGCCATTTTATGTTCCTTGGCAGCATTATATCATGTTCTTTGATTTATTCAAAAGAATGATAACTAAAGGAGAATCAGCTCATAATTTCTGGTGACTTTGTCAGATGTTTTAAACCTTGCTACTGTTACTGGGTTTTGGAGTGCTGGAGTTTCCTTCTTGGAGGTGATTTCTAGGTTCTTTCGGTCCTTTAGCAAAGAATTGGTCGAGACGAGTGGAAATGGTAGCAAAGTTTTATTAAAAGTAGGAAAAGAAAAGGCTCTGCAGAGTGAGTTTGGACCAAGTAAAAGTAGGAAAAGATGTATACCCTATAGCGTGAAGGTAGACCATCTGTGCAAGAGAGAACACAGTGGCAAAAATTCAGTGTGGTCTGACTTTTTTGTATCACCCACTCCTCAGGCTGGTCAGTTAGGCCATCCTGTGGACAACCTGCTCAAGTTCTCGCTAGATGTCCACATGTAGGGCTTTGGGGAACTGCTCTGGTCTTATAACCTGGGATTTAGTAATTAACAGGTCACACCTACTTCCCCTGCCAGCTTCTATCTCTAATCTCCTATCCCACTACTTCTTACCCATCAGCATCTCACAGCCCCTTCATAGTCTTTTCTGCTGCCTACTTTCTCACCTTGGAAGGGTGTGTCTGTGCCTTGTTGCTTGGTGCTGGGAAGGGGTAGGACCAGTGGTCAAGGCTGATGGGTGTCCCAGTTCTTGGAGCTGGGCAGCAGCCAAACCAATGTGAACTACAGTTTCATGTGCTTCAGATGGATGTTGATAAGAAATTTATTACAAGGATGTAAAGTCTTACTTTCTTATTGGTAGTATCAGTTATGTTTTAATTTGACTAAATATTTATAGATATAAGATATGTATATTTGTATATCTTAATAATTTTAGAAGCTAGGTGAAGTTTTAGTTTAAAACCAGCACTTTTTTTCCCAATGAAAATTGATCCTCTTTAATATTGTTTACTGTATAAGCTTCTAGGACTTCTCTAGCTGTATGCTCATGTATTCAGAAGAGTAATAGTGTCTCCTTTATATTCTTCAGGAGCATTTTCTACTGGAGCTAACAGATCTTTAGGACTGCTGCTCTGATAAAAACATGTGATTTAAGAATTCGTTTAGCGTGAGACGCTCATAGATGATTTCAGATTTTAGATGCAGTCTGTCTGTAATAAGCAGAGTTTGTTTTTGTTTTAACTTGAAGTAAAACTGAAAATCTGCTTTGGAAAGAAACTCAGTAATGAAAATAAGTGTGAATGTCTAATTCCTCCAGCTCAGTGACTAATGATTACTTGAAACCATTCTGCTCCTGAGTGGTTTGGCTGAAAGTGGGAGGTGGGAGCATATTTCCAATGAAGTGCACCTAAATCTATCTCTAAATGAATGATATTTGAAACTTAAGTCCAGACATGCTGACTGCATAATTCTATCATCTTTTGTATTGTCTTTCAACATTTATTTCAGAACCAAGATATAAATTAGGAAAGCGAGTTGACCACCAGTTTAACTGGGTTACTTTTAAACCTTTAAATTGATCTTGGTGTCCAGAACAACAAATAGTTTACACTGGTGTTATAATATTTGAGGAAATTCTTTGGCTACTCGTTCTCTGTAGTGCTTTTCTTAAAAATAAGTAAACAGAATGAAATGAGATCATTTTAGACCAGCAAAGACATTTTTACAGCTTGAAATTTTTTACTGGATCTGAACGTTGAAAGTATAAATTGAAACTATTTCTGTTAAGTCAACTTTGATTTAATGCTCAATTGAACAACCCCCAAAACAGCTCATTTCATAATGGACTGGTGCTTGCATCTTCTGCAGACCTATACAGAAGGAGAAAAAGAATTAAAAGTTTGTTCCAGAATTTTGTTAGGTTTAAAATACTCATAAGTCACCTTGGTGAAAGACATACCTGTGTGAAAATCAGTATCTTGCTTCTTTGGAACTCCTTTGGGAGAATGCCAAAGATAGTTACTAAGCTCAGTGGTCTTCCTACTTTATAATATAATCAAATTAAAGGATAATTGGAAGAATTGGAAGATTGTAAGAGTCAGGCAAATGAATTCAAACAGGAAGCAGAATCAAAGATGTTCAGTGTTCCCCTAACTCAGGGCAGTACGTTGACATTCAGACTAGGTGACCTCTGAGGTCCCTTTCACCTCCCATAGTACAGACACCAGCTGGAACATGTCTAAAGAGGGAGAAGACAACTCCATGTGAAAAAAGTGTGAGAACCAAGGACATTGCTTTCCAGTCTTTATAAAGAAGGAAAAAAAGAATTTTGC